TTATACATCAGTACTACAGTGTCTACTAAGTTCTCACTAACCTTAACATTCACCCTTCATACATCAGTACTAGATTGTCTACTAAGTTCACACTAGCCCTAACCTTCACTTTTCATAAATCAGTACTATAATGTCTACTGAGTTCACACTAACCCTCGTCTCCACCCTTCATATAGCAGTACAATAATGTCTACTAAGTTCACACTAACCCTCACCTTCACATAGCAGTACTATAATTTCTACTGAGTTCACACTAACTCTCGCCTCCACCCTTCATACATCAGTACTATAATGTCTACTAAGTTCACACTAACCCTAACCTTCATCATCATCTCTTCACCTGAGGAGAAGATCGCTTGGAATACTATCGTAGAAATACAGACAGAATGCCCTGTATCAGGAAAGATGTAAAATATCGTAATTTTTCGAACATTATGACGAAGAAATGTGCTGCTCTTCAGTCCAACCCAAATTCGTCAAGAAAATATAATTATGTGCAAATAAAATTTAATGGCATGAACTTTACAATTTTGATTGATAACCAGAGTTCAGTTACCACATCTGTGGTTAGTGACCTATTTAGCGGTCAGTAGCAGGAAAGTGAGTCACCTTTGATTGGCCACATTCCATCACACGTGTTTTTTATGTCAACCCTTATCTGGTTATTTGGCTCCACAGTTATTTTTCATTTTTTTATCTATCTATTTCTGTTTATCCACTCTTTATGCACTTCCTATTTATCTGTCTATTTAATTATTTATTTCTCTTTATCAAATAATCGATACAATATTCATCTGTTTATCTAATTACATATTTCTAGGTTCTTCTTCACTTATTTTCTAATTATCTGTCCATTTAGCTGTTTATTCCTCTTCATCTATTTTCTTTTTTTTGTGTCTATTTATTCTCTCTTCATGACTGTAAATATGTTCAGCTATTTCTTCATTTGTAGTTGATCTCTCTATATAGATGAATATGTGAATTGAAAGGACGAAGATTACCATAATCATGAGCAAATACAACTTTTAAGGCTGGTTAATAACTTTTTAAATTCATTTCATAATTTACTTTTATAATCTCTGAATGATAAAAATATGAACAAGTACAGAAAATCTCTCTGTAGATTGGAATTAAAATCAATTTTTGTTTGTTTCACATCTGTCTAGAATTATTTGCTTATTTTTAACAGTTCGATTACGTAAGGCATGTTCAAATATGACTTTTTAAATATGAATACATACAATTATGCCAAAGTTTTTAAGTACCATGTGTTTTTCTTTTTTGTTTTTGCAAATTTGTTCATGATTACGGACACGTCATAAATAACGATCAGTTTGTTTCGTGTATTTATTGTATTTAAGAAAGAACTGTGTATATTCTAGAATCTGTATTACAGCTGTTATTAAACAGTTCAGTTGTGACTACAGCAGCTGTTTAGTAAGAACTATGTATATATACTAGAATCTGTATTACAGCTAACTAAACAGCTGCTGTAGTCACAACTGAACTGTTTAATAATATATATACATAGTTCTTACTAGAATCTGTATTACAGCTGTTATTAAACAGTTCAGTTGTGACTACAGCAGCTGTTTAGTAAGAACTATGTATGAACTAGAATCTGTATTACAGCTGTTATTAAACAGTTAAGTTGTGACTACAGCAGCTGTTTAGTAAGAACTATGTATATATACTAGAATCTGTATTACAGCTGTTATTAAACAGTTCAGTTGTGATTACAGCAGCTGTTTAGTAAGAACTATGTATATATACTATAATCTGTATTACAGCTGTTATTAAACAGTTCAGTTGTGACTACAGCAGCTGTTTAGTAAGAACTATGTATGAACTAGAATCTGTATTACAGCTGTTATTAAACAGTTTAGTGGTGACCACAACAGCTGTTGAAAATATGAATTCGTAGTCAAGCAGTGTTGCTTCTAAATAAAACAAAAACACAAACAAACTGATCTTTGTTTGAAAAGTTAGGCTTAATTTATACAGATTAAACTGAGTTTTAAATCGCAATGGTGATCAAAATCACTTGTCGTCTAACTGATTCAAATAGATTCAGGCTTAAGTTGGAGACATCATGGTGGTTTAAAACTGATTTTTTTTATCTGTCTTATAAGTATATTTTGAAAATAACAAGCAACACTTATGCTAAGAGTTCCTCTTCATTCGAGAGATACGTGGTACATGTGGTGTAGTGTTTCTCTAACACCTCAATATCTCAGCAGATAGTTCCTCTTTAGTCAAGAGATGGCGCAACAAGTATGGTGTGGCGTTTCGTGGTTTTTCTAACACGGCGGTAACTTGGTAAATTTACCTCACATTATTTAGGAGATTGTCTGCTGCCATTACACCAGTAAATAGAGGAATAGAACCTTTTAACAGTAACTGATATACATTATATCTGATTAAGGAATTTAATATATCCATCGTTCCTACTTATACCTCCCCCCCGTGGCTCAGCAGTAAATCGATATCTACAGTGGGCATAGCACAGATCGCCCACTGTGTAGTTTTGTGCTTAACAACAAACAAGCAAACAAACCTACTGATAAAATCATGTTTAGTCTTGCTATACGTATCATAAATAGTGAAGAGATTGAGTGGTGTGTTCGTTCTCTGACAATAATTGTAACCATAAATTGGAAGGCCATTATTAATATAGTTTCGGCTTTCAGATGACACCCGAAACTAGAACTGTTTGCTGTTTAAATAGTCATTACTTTAAAAAACCATAGAAGACAAACAACAGCTGTTTAAATATCTCATCATTAGTGAAAACTTGTAGTGATCTGTATAATCTGAAGAAAGAATTCATGATAGCAAATCTACAATAGACAAAAACAAAACTATGTCACAAGATTAAAATAAGGTGAAGAATAAGGGCAATTACTTGTGCCATTTTACGTCACATCCGGTTTGAATAGTAAATACCACAACAGATGATTTTTAAACTCGCTTGGACTAACGTAGCACTAACCCAAATTCCATGATAGCACCTGAGAAAATGTGCTATTACAAATAAGAGTAAGTGTTAAATGTGCTGTTACAAATAAGGGTAAGTGTTAAATGTGCTGTTACAAATAAGGGTAAGTGTTAAATTTGCTGTTAAAAATAAATGGTGAGTGTTAAATGTGTTGTTACAAATAAGGATAACTGTTAAATGCGCTATTACAAATAAGGGTAAGTGTTAAATGTGCTGTTACAAATAAGGGTAACTGTTAAATGCGCTATTACAAATAAGGGTAAGTGTTAAATGTGCTGTTACAAATAAGGGTAAGTGTTAAATGCGCTGTTACAAATAAGGGTAAGTGTTAAATGTGCTGTTAAAAATAAATGGTAAGTGTTAAATGTGCTATTACAAATAAGGGTAACTGTTAAATGCGCTATTACAAATAAGGGTAAGTGTTAAATGTGCTGTTACAAATAAGGGTAACTGTTAAATGCGCTATTAAAAATAAGGGTAACTGTTAAATGTGCTGTTACAAATAAGGGTAAGTGTTAAATGTGCTGTTACAAATAAGGGTAAGTGTTAAATGTGCTGTTACAAATAAGGGTAAGTTTTAACTTTGATGACAGTTTGAGTATGAGGTTTTACGTGTTTTATCGTATTATAAAATATTGAGGATAAACACTTGAACTTTCTCCGATACTGGTATGATTTTGAGATGCTGTGTTATAAACGAATTAGGAATTTGTTTGTTTTGAAGTTGAGCACAAAGCTACACAGTGGGCTATCTATTCTCTGACCGCCACGGGCATCGAAACCCGGTTTCTATCTGTGCCACTGGGGGCACGAATGATGAAGATCAGCTACAAAGATGACAAGGAAATACCGGAATGCGAAAAGACGACCACTGGTCATATGCAGAAAATAAAAGACGCGCTACTATAGGTATATAATGAAACCCGACGAAAGGTTAGCGGTGATTCCAATGTTCGAGAGACAGACGGACAGACTCACTTGTCACTTGGCTCGATGTTATTAGAAACTGGATTGGTGATGAGAAGATTGAATTATGAAAGTTTTTACATGCAGCAAGGAAAAGAGAACCATAGTATTGCACACTCAAAACCAGGATTTTTTTTATTTCTGTTATAATGTGAGGATATATACTGTACATCTGTGAGTCTGAATTACACTGATCAGAGGTGAAGAAACTTGTCCTGGAATCTCCAGTGTCACTTCTAGAACAAATAGTTTCAAAATCGTCATGGAGTCTATACGTCACTGTTAGAAAAAAAAATTAAATTAACATACATGGTTATTTATTACTTGTTTATTTAATTATCATACATGATAATTGAACTAACAAGTAATAAATAACCATGTATGATAATTGAATAAACAAGTAATAAGTAATCATACATGGTTACTTATTACTTGTTAGTTCAATTATCATACATGGTTACTTATTACTTGTTTATTTAATTATCATACATGGTTATTTATTACTTGTTAGTTCAATTATCATACATGGTTACTTATTACTTGTTTGTTTAATTATCATACATGGTTATTTATTACTTGTTTATTCAACTATCATACATGGTTACTTATTACTTGTTTATTTAATTGTCATACATGGTTATTTATTACTTGTTTATTCAATTATCATACATGGTTATTTATTACTTGTTTATTCAATTATCATACATGGTTAGTTATTCATTGTTTATTCAATTATCATACATGGTTATTTATTACTTGTTTATTTAATTATCATACATGGTTAGTTATTCATTGTTTATTCAATGCTCATACATGGTTACTTATTACTTGTTTATTCAATGGTCATACATGGTTACTTATTACTTGTTTATTCAATGCTCATACATGGTTACTTATTACTTGTTTATTCAATGCTCATACATGGTTACTTATTACTTGTTTATTCAATGCTCATACATGGTTACTTATTACTTGTTTATAACTTGCAAAACCTGCCCATAGTTAGTAAAATTTTCTGTTGTACGACACCACTAGGTTCTGTTGACTGAAGAAGTTACACAACATCATCATGCAGGCTGCAGATGAAAAATCGGGTGCAAGGCCCGAAGGTGAGGAGGATGAGATGGAGCGCGAGCTGGCGGAAGACGCTGTATGGAAACGTATTCAACAGAATACGTTCACCAGGTGGGCTAACGAGCACTTGAAAAGTGTAAGTAAAACTATCAACAGCTTGGAGACGGACTTATCCGACGGATTGAAGCTGATAGCTCTCATTGAAGTCCTTTCCGGAAAGAAATTACCTAGGCACAATAAGAAACCTTCTTTCCGGTCCCAAAAATTAGAAAACGTTTCCGTTGCCCTGAAGTTTTTGGAAGAAGACGAAGGAATCAAAATTGTAAACATTGGTAAGTCTATTTTTGTTGTTGATAGAAAATATTTGTGGCCTGGTTTCCAAATCGCAACTCCACGTGCACAAATCATGATGATTTCGAAAACATGCCAATTTCACGTTTCTGATTTTGAATATTTTCATTTTTCGAACTCCAGTTAAACACATACAAGTTGTAAAATACACAGTTTCAGTATGATACCGCTTTTATAGATCTGTGAAACTTAGCTTATGAAACACAAAAATACTTTATCTAAATAAGGTGCCATTGCTACTTATATTTTCTGTACAGATCCGTTTTTGTTACTGTAAGAAACCGTGCTGGTACTGTTTCGAATAACCCGACGTCATGCGCCAGTTCACTGCGCAACATGTTTTTGTTTTTTAAACCACTAACATAATGACATTTGTCGTAACTGAAACCAAGTGAAGAGCATAATTAATGACGTTTGTCGTAATTAAAAAAAACAAACAAAAACGAGTATAGTTACTGACATTTGTTGTAACTATAATCAGATACTTACAAAAATATGATGTAGGACTCTTTCATGTAGAAAGACGCAGCCGTAATTAAAAGAAACTGACTAATGAGAAGAGTGATTGGCTGATCAATTCTCAGTTTTTATCAACATGTTATATACATTTATTGACTAAAGAGAGCTGTTATTGGTTGATTAATACCACGTGCTATCGATATACTATATAAATATATTGACTAAAGAGAGCTATGATTGGTTATTAATACCACGTGCTATTGACATACCATGTACATATATTGGCTAAATATAGCTGTGGAAATTGCGGCAAAGTAGAAGAAATGAAATTTAAAATGTTAAAATTAGGCTTAAAGGGAAGGATTTCCTTAATCCGTATTAAAAACATATAAATATGCTTACGTTTAGAAGTTTTTTATTTATTTATTTTGGATGTGAAGAGTACAGTCCTGCTGAAAACCGTGGGTTGGAAAATCAATAGCTAATACCGGTATCTGTGTTTATTTTCAATAATCTGTATATCCTCTAAGCTTTTTGAACACTCCATTTGCTACCTTTGTCTGGATGGAAAGATGAATATACATTTCAATTAAAAGTTACGACATGCAGTTAACTTTAATATAGAATATATATGATTAATATGTTTAATTTAGTGTATTAACTCAGTACAACAAAAAGTAACCATAAATTTAATTCTGTTCAGTTGCCAAATAACACTGTAATAACAAATTATTAATTTTAAAACTTGTATGCTTTATGTATAAGATAGGTAGTAATTATTTTGTTTTGTTCAATGTACTTTCCATAAGCGCCTGGCAGACAGTACAAGCGTGAATCAGTTATTTGACTCTATGTCATGAACACATCACTCAAATGGAAACACGTTCGAGAGCCATCTCGAAAGTGCGCGTACAAACGTTCGTGCTGGGGGAACTGTTATACACAAGCGTGCGTGGAACAGCTGTAAAATATTTCCGAACGCCATAAAGGCAAATAACCCAAAAAGAAAATTAACCAACGAAGAACCCAATACAAGAAATAATTTAACGAGAAGGAATAAAAACAATACTAAATTACTCAATAATTTTGATTAATTAATAATTATTTAAATTAATACTTATCTATAAAATGAGTAAAGGCCTGAGAAAGTATAAATCTAGTGTTGTGAAAAGAAAAGAGGGAAAACAATCAGAGGAAGCTCCAAAACAGAAAAAGACGCATCTGATAAATGTTTGATCCTAAAATGAAAGGAGACGACCAGCCACTACAGAGCAAAAGATATCCAAGTAGCAGAAGAGTATTTTCTGTATTTTGAAGAAACAATTAACGAAGATGATAACAATATTACAGAACTTTATGTTTCTAATATTGGTTTATGGCTACAAAACATATCTGTGAATAAGTGATGTGCTAGTAAATCATGGACCTAATGAATATTAGACTCAAAAACGACTTTCAAAGGATAAATATTTTAGGAAATTGAAACACAGAAGAATGTACCACGTCCATGGTTGGTTCTTTCTTTAAAACTAGATGCAGTGAGTCTTCTGTAAATTGTTTCTCGACTGTAAAATGCAAGTAACTGACAAAGGTTTTCGTTTGTGATAATAAATTCAAAGAACTAGAATATCACGAGAAAAGCAATTGACACGTGTAATGTCTTATTAAATTAAAGGAGTTACAATACCAGTTAAAAACGAATTTTACAGTAGGGAGTTGAAACTTTGATCGAAATAGAATAGCAGCAGTTAACAGGTGTATTCAATAAGGTGATTGCATTAGTCGTGCATTTGTTAAAGTAATTGCTGTAAAAAATAATCGTATAAAGTGTACTGTATCACCAAGGCATCAAAATAGCTGTCGGTAATCTCAAAAATAGTAAGTATACAAGGAATGATGGTAAGACCAGCGCTACAGGGAAGGGACCTCGGAGCTTGGCCCCATGAAATGTTGATGGTCTCACCCAAGGTAATGTCGGGACTGAATGAACGAGCTCTGCTCTATCAGAGGTTATATCGCCGAGGTCAGGGGTATAATGACGTAACTATAAGAAGCCAACACAAGTATGCGTCACTTGGGTTGTTGCAATTAAAAACAAATTGACATTTTTTGTTTCTTGTGTCTGCCATGTTTTGAACACTGTGATATTTTGCAACTGGTCAAAACTTTTTTCCCGTCTCCTTCAAAGAATGCATACTATTTTTGTGGCAACAACTAGCTATTTAGAGTCCTTTATTAAGCCTCTTTCCAACACTAGATGGCAATGTAAAATTGTTTGGCATAATTAATAAAATTAAAAGAAACTTCAAGGAATAGTGTAGCCTATTCTGTTTGTTTTGAATTTCGCGCAAAGCTAAGCTAGCCGTCCATAATTTAGCAGTATAAGACTAGACGGAAGGCAGCTAGTCATCACCACCCACCGCCAACTCTTGGGCTACTCTTTTACCACCGAATAGTGAGATTGACCGTCACATTATAACGCCCCCACGGCTGAAAGGGCAAGCATGTTTGGCGGGACGGGGATTCGAACCCACGACCCTTAGATTGCGAGTCGAGCGCCCTAACCACCTGGCCATGCCGGGCCTGCCTATTCTATAGCTGGATCATTAAAAGACGAGCTAGCATCAACTTTCTTTAGTAGTTTGGTAAGATGTGTTTATACAAATATTTCTAGCCAATAAGAAGTGAGAACTGATACTGCTAGTAAACGATGCAACAGCAAATCCTTCTTTAATGTAAGGAAAATTATTTCGAAGGTGCCAGACTGACGCTGGAACAGTTTTTATAGGGGGTTACTGAAAATTATCGAAGCTAATTGTATTTGATATACTATATTAAAACATGTTAATAAAACAAACCCAGCATCAGCACATGTTTATGTATTTAAGTAAAAACAAACACATCCCAGCATCCCTAGTTCCAGCGCCCTTAAAGCGCCCATGACAAGTGCTACAGAATAATTATAAGTTGTTTCAGGATTGTTGAAGAGATAGCCATTGTTGTACAACAACTGTTCAAAACTAAATGCTTAACGTTATTGTGAGCTTTCCTTTAACAAAGGCTAGAAAGTGAAGGTTTCATGTTGTTGTGGGATGTACTTTAACAACGGTTAGAAAGTTAATATTTTACGTTGTTATGGACTGTGCTTTAACAATGGTTAGAAAGTTAATGTTTTACGTTGGTGTGGACTGTACCTTAAGGTGAAGGTTTCATGTTGTCATGGGCTGTATTTTAACAACGGCTCTAAACTGAATATTTTACTTTGTTCTGGACTGTGCTCTAGTGAAAATGGAAGATGGACTTGAACTGCTTCATAATTATATCAAATTATTCCACCTTAGTAACAATAAATAATTGAAAATGTAGAATACAATGAGTTGGTAAAATCGTGCATGAATTTCATATAGTACTAACTTGCACTGATTTAAATGTTTACAGTATTGTTTTAATATTTGAATTCGAAGTCTTACTACAGTTCTACCAGAAACATTTGACGCTTTACTTACAAAGATTATTGAACAACATCTTCTCCCAGCGAGTGCTTTTTCTTCATGGTAATATTTAAAGCTACAGTAGCTGTAGTACCTGTTAATATAATATTTTCAAAGTTGAAACTAATTAAAACCTGATTGAGATCATCCATGTCACAAGAGCTTCTCACGCGATTGGAACGTTCTCCACCGGATGATGCGTTGAATTTCGAGAAAGTTGTCGAAGAAGTAATAAAAGATAAATTTTATAAGTAAATGTTCACACATCACGTACTATATACATATATAAAACATGTGACTTAGAAAAAAAATCTAAATATGAGAAGACAAATTTCATTTTTCATGTCAAGTTTAGGTATTAAAAGAGGCCTAAATTTAAATACCTTGCAGAAAGCCCACAATTTCGTCATATAAGTCCTGTGTGTGTATTTTGAATGACGCAATAGCTATATACAGTGAAATGTAGATTATTGTAATGAGAGATTGGAGTGCTTCCTCTTATGAGTACATTTTCGTCTAAGCCATTGCAACATGTCTTTTATATACTGATATTGTTAGTGTAGTTTACCCTGCAGTGTTCTGTATATACTGATATTGTTAGTGTAGTTTACCCTGCAGTGTTCTGTATATACTGATATTGTTAGTGTAGTTTACCCTGCACAGTGTTCTGTATATACTGATATTGTTAGTGTAGTTTACCCTGCAGTGTTCTGTTTATACTGATATTGTTAGTGTAGTTTACCCTGCAGTGTTCTGTTTATACTGATATGGTTAGTGTAGTTGGCACTGCAACGTGTCTTGTATAGACTGATATTGTTACTGGAGGTCTCTGAAGCATGTTTATTGTAGACCTGGTAAAATCCTTGGGGGTCCCCTAGTGAGCGACATTGGGAGTCGGCGTTCGAATCCAACCCCCCTCTCACACGCACACTTATCTATGTCTTCCCTGTGTTGAATGGGTACGTCAGGTATAATACCAACTGAACGTTTCCTGTCAAATTGTGCGACAGCAGCACAACAGTCCCATATTTTTAGATTGTTACTTCTTAGCTTAAAGGTTAAAAAAGGATTTATTTTAAGAGTGTGAAAGTATGTTTGAACAGTTGAAAGAAAGAGATTTAAATATATATCACCCGTAAATTTAGATTTCCTTCCAAATTAAATCAAGAATTTCCTTCTTGCAAAGTATAATCCTGCTGCTCTGTGAAAATAATTATACAATTATATAATTATACCAGTTGGTCATTTGGGTTAATGACCTAAATTTCCGCTTTCAACGCCACCTGTTACTTGCAACTTTCGGCCCATGTATTAAAAGTTTAAAATTTAGGCTTTTTTTTTCAGAGATACCTCGTCATTTTAAAAACTGTGTATTTACAAAATGATTCGGAAAATAGACATTGTATTATGCATATTGTAATTATCGCGATAAACTGATAGTACAAAATTCTGGTTATCAGTTTAACATGAATTTCTTATTGTGTTGATAAAAAAAAGGTCACCAAATGGGTATAATAGGAATCACACAACAGAATCCCGCAATTCAGTAAGTAGGCCTAACTTTTACTGTTATCACAGCGGCTTTGGTGGAAGTTTGCTTATAACGCTGCGTTATAAGTGTATATTTAGTTCTATTCAACATGCTAGAGTAGTGTCGAGTGGGCCAGAGGAAAGATAATATGTAATACTTTGACAACGCTGTTGTAAAATTTTCCTGGTGTAGAGAATCATTATCGGCTGGATAGCAAAACAAATATTCCACGTCATTTGTTTTCAAGGTAAATCATTGTCCTTAACATTTTCCAAAATGAATATTTTTGTTTGACAAAAGCTTTCCTTTTTGTTTCTTGTTAATCGCAAAGCTACACAATGAGTTATCTATGCGCTGCCAACCAAGGGTATCGAAATCCAAGTCTCAGAGTTATAAGCTCTGAAACTTACCGTTGAGCCACCGGGGTATTGGGGTGGGTCTTTTTGCTAAAGAACAACAAGTTAATATCAACTATGAATGCAAAGTGCAAAAAAAAGTAGGCCTTTGTTGAAAATCAAAAGGAAGAGCAAAATAAACATATTTTTTAACACTAACGTAAGAACATATATATGGCCAATAATATCGTATATAAAGGAAATTGCTTTGAATTAAAATGTATGTAACAGAAATACAAGATATAAACGGATTCTTAAAAAGAATAAAGCATCATAAACACCATAAATACATATATAGTCACATGATCAGTACACGAGCTCACGATCTGACGTCTCGAAACAGATTCTTGGCACAGACATGATATTCCTTTCACATCGTCACTTCTTTTTCCTCGAGACTTTTGTTCCCCGTTTTGGAAAGAGAAGTGTTTCCTGAGATATATGAAACTGTTCCACGCCTTTTGTAGGAGGTAGGGGTAATGTTTATAGGCCAGGACAGATGAATTGTCACTTAATTGTCTCTGTTTTTGCTAAACAAATGTTGAGACCTGTTGACATCACTCAAATTCTTCATTTTTCTTCAAAGAAACGTCCATCAGGTAAAAAGAGAAGATTAATTGTTGTTTGCCTTGTTTAGTATGTTGGCATCACTTCGTGTAGGGATGTAAAGTGTGTCATTCCGGAAACATGATGTGTTCTTTCTTAGAATGGACACCGTATATACACACACACATTAAGCCCCAGACTCTATGGTGGATCATAACTTTTGTTATACACACTTTAAATGATGTATTGTCATTGTCAGAGTGGAACTAAAACTGGACGTGTTGATAACTTGATTGAATACTTGGCCACGCCACTTTTTTTTTATTCAATAAAATCTTGATTTACACGAAAACGATAAGTGAATCACACAATACATTTTTTTCTGTGAAATGATTTTTAATGAAATGTTATGAAACTAGAAAACTTACTCGAATTAGGTGATGAAGAATACGTCATTAGCTTATAAAATTTTAAAATGAAACATTGTAATACCTTTTGTCTAGAATAATTAGGTCCAATAATAGTTAACAAGAAAATATAAGTTTCTGTTCCAAAGAAGGCGATATTGTTAATTTTACCTGTGGACGAACCACTTATTATTTTCTAAAATATTTTTCCATTCATTATTTGTTATTGCAGTGAAAGGTAGGAACGAGAGTAATGGGGCACGAGGGATGCCTGACTAGCGGATACAGGTCGTACCGGGTTGTTATGTGCAATCTTAAGTCACGTTGTACCGTAAACTAAAATCCATAAAAGGCAATGATTTATCAAAACGTAAATAGGGTCGCAACACACATACACAGCACAAGAACGTGCGTTTGCAGTAGCTATTAGCACTGGGTGTAGGTCTCGTAATGAGATTCCATATTTCATACATAGCGTTTTTGTTATAAGTTTTTAAAAGTATTTTTGTGTAATAGTCGTGACCTGACCCCAAAAGATTTTGCTGTATTTTTGAGTCGTATTTACCACTGCTCAGTTTGAAGGAAAAAATTGTGTTAAATGCGAAATGTATTCGGGGTTAATTTTCCACAATCATTTGGCATGAATAATAAAGGCATAGAACTTTGAAGATAGAAAAAGATTGTAATGCAAAATATTATTTACTATTCTTCATATAATTATGATATACAGGCAGCAAGAGCCAATTTGGTCCTTCAAAGCTGTCCCTTCACACCCATTCCCAAGAACTCGCCTTTTATTTTTCAGGAAATCTTCGATTCCTGTCATAAGCTCTTGGAAAGTTCTAGCCTCCACAACTTCTGACAACAACTCATTCCACAAATCAAACTTTCTTTACTAGAGCTTAGCCCGTATTTTCCAAATATTAAACTTGTGTCCTTTCGTCTTACTCTCTTTAGAATTCAGCACAAAGAAATCAGTCTTGTAGCCTATCGACCTCCATGGATAAATTTGAATCTGGCTACATCTTAATTTTTTAAAACTGAATTAAAAGATATTAACTTTTCCCTATCAGATAATTGTTCTATTTCAGGAATCATTCTAATATTGTATTCTCAGATAAACGGATTTCCGTGCAAGTATAGAATAGATCGGCTTAATAACAGGAGGATAGATCAGGAAGCATACGAAATAATCTGAATTTGAAAACCAATTTTTTTTTTCAAGCTGTATGAGAAATAAGGAGGCTGGACACGTGTGATGTGAAGTGAATTAGTCATCATTTATTAGAACGCCTACCTGAATAGACACTTGTTTTGTCATGGAAACATGGAAAAAGCAAATGTTTTGGCTAGAGAATGTTTTAGTTGTGATATCATGCGATGTCTCAACTTTTCTTGAGAGTTGGAGCAAACAATATAACAACAACAGTGGATTGATGAGTAGTTTAGTGAGTACAGTATGGTGGGAAAGATGGGTGATTATGTTAGTGTTGCTGATTGATTACCAAGTTAGTGAGTTAGTTTGGTAGCCTGTTCAGTACTGTAAATTTTGAAATTGTGTTTGAACATAGTAGAGCGACTATTTAGTGTGTTAGCTTTGCTGTTCATAATTCCCTGTGAACACTAATATAACTCTCTTAGAACACTTAGCATACATTCTTTCACTTTAGTGTCGGGCACTTTGCAACCACTCCAGCTCAAGAGCATGTATTCTAGCAATAAAATAGTGAACTGTTTTTTGACATATTTCATGTGATTATTAAGACACATGAATATGGCATTAAAACACTTAATAAAATAAAGTTTACAGTTATACCTTGCATTTAAAATGTACATATTTTTAAAAGGCTCTCCCCCCAAAATTTTTTTTCTATAAAGCAAAATTGTACAATCTGATGCATTTTCTAGATCAATGTGAGGCTTAATTTGACCTGTATCCAGCTGATCAACCAACCACAATGTATTGTACTATAGAAAGCTGGTAATTTGACTAAAATGCCTTATTTTTTTTATTAATGCGTATGAACATGAGAATATGTGACTGTTGATATCTCTGTAAAACTTATTGAAAGTAATGACACAAGAGAGTCGAAATTATATCATGTTTATTGAAATTTGCAATTTTGACAAAATTACATTTAAATAGAAAGGAAAATTCCATTAATATCACTCATTTCTGCAGTAAATAAACTTATAAAGTACATGTGGTGGTATTTGAGATCCCAGTGTTTGCTAAAAACATTAATTAATCAGTAGCTTAGGTCTTGTAGTCATAAATTCAGCTTTAAGTTCCACATATCAATGTATAAGTATTACTGTTTTTCTTCTTATGGATATTTTGTTTAAAGTAATGATTCTGTAGAGCTATAGAGGATTATGTGTTTACTTTTTTTATTTACAGACAGTACTGACATTGTGGACTGCAAACTGAAGCTAATTCTTGGACTGATATGGACACTTATCCTGCATTATTCCATCTCAATGCCAATGTGGGAGGGCGAGGATGCAGACCTGGTCCTTGGGTCCAAGGGAGGTCCGACTCCTAAACAAAGGTTACTTGGATGGATCAAGAAAAAAGTTCCAGATCTTCCAATCAACAACTTCACTTCTGATTGGAATGATGGTCGAGCTATGGGTGCTTTGGTTGATGCTGTGGCACCAGGTTTGTCTGAATTAATGATAATTAGTAGTATATTAGTGAATGAGACGTTTTATACAAGACTGAAGGCAAGTTTTCACATTTCAAACAGAATTGTTTCAAATTTCACACTCAGCATCTTTCCAGTCATAAGATTAATCATATGAACTAATTTTTTTATTGTTCATTATTTCTTTCATAGAAGCCACATAAAGCATTGTACTGTTTGTCAATAAGCACACATATTGCAGGTTTCAAATATGCTAAGTAAAATGGTATAGGTTACATATATCTTACATGTTCAAGATAATGTGATCTGTCCCCTGGTAAATAAAATGGTCAAGTAATATGTTTATTTAAAGAAAGAAAGAAATTATTAGGTGAAACTTAGTTAGAGCATTTACTTCAGCATTAATATCTGTAGATGTTGTTAATCTCTACATATTAAGACAATGACACTTAGAACATTTATCCAGTGTGAGTATCTATATATGTTGCTAATCTCAACATATTAAGACAATGACACTTAGAACATTTATCCAATATGAGTATCTGTATATGTTGCTAATCTCTACGTATTACGACAATGACACTTAGAACATTTATCCAGTGTGAGTATCTGTATATGTTGCTAATCTCAACATATTAAGACAATGACACTTAGAACATTTATCCAGTGTGAGTATCTATATATGTTGCTAATCTCAACATATTAAGACAATGACACTTAGAACATTTATCCAGTATGAGTATCTGTATATGTTGCTAATCTCAACATATTAAGACAATGACACTTAGAACATTTATCCAGTATGAGTATCTATATATGTTGCTAATCTCAACATATTAAGACAATGACACTTAGAACATTTATCCAGTATGAGTGTCTGTATATGTTGCTAATCTCAGAAAACAAAGACTGAATACGGACACCAGCTCTTGTTGTGACATACAAAATAAAGTATAACAACTGTAAACATCAATACTATCTATGAATACTATTATAACATTCTTTTTTTATTCTGTTAGGGCTGTGTCCTGATTGGCCAGAGTGGAGTCCTAATGATGCCCTAAAAAATGCATCAGAGGCTATGGGCCTGGCCAATGATTGGTTAAATGTACCACAGGTAAGTTAAGGTTCAATATGGTTTCTTTAATAAACATTTTTTACTAACAGTGTAAGATGTATTAAGTCATGTTCTTCTATTGTTGGACTTGACTGTTAAATTTGAGACAGTCATTTGTAGGCCTGAAATAGCACAGAAATTTGTTTGTTACTATTACATGAATGTAGTTAACTTTCCATTTCAGTTGATCAATCCAGAACATGTGGTCAATCCAAAAGTTGACGAACTTTCTATGATGACCTACTTGTCTCAATACCCTAATGCCAAGCTAAAACCAGGTGCTCCTCTCCGTCCCCGTGTCAATCCCAACAGAGTCCGTTGCTATGGTCCAGGTATTGAGCCCACAGGTGTCGTACTTGGTGCTCCCACTAACTTCACTGTTGAGACATTCAGTGCAGGGAAGGGTGATGTTCAAGTTTTTATTGAGAACCCCAAAGGACAGATGGAACCGGTGAGTTGGAACCTTTTTTCTAAAGCTGTTTGATTATCTTGCAACTCTATTAAAATGTTTAACACAAGGATTATAAGCTTTTCATTATCACTGAAGAATTTTTACTGGTAAATCAACTTACAGCTTGCATAGTTAATAGATGAGGATTTGTTTTACACATATAATAATAATAACAAAGAAAAGAAGTTTTCTACTTTCATTTTAATTTTGGTTTTGTTATTTGTTGATGATATCCAAATAACTTCAGAATAAATTTTGATTGATTTTTATTTATTTTCTCAAAATCTTTTGTAATTGCTCTATCTTTTTAACTTGTCTATTAGGATATTTCTAGTTATTTCCTTCAAAATTCACACCTATGAAACTCTTCCCATCAGAACTATAAATATAAAACCACAGTTGTAGATATTTTAACTGTTTCAAACAACATTACAGCTGTCAAAAACTTTCCATTAAAACTGTAGATATAAAACCACAACTGCTCTCTGTAGTCTTTTTACCTGTCTGAATGCATTGTACAAGAGTTTTAAATACAACTTTTACACCTTTCTGCTTCGAGGAATGTTGTACTCTATAACCAACAAAATCTTATATTTCTCTAGTATTATGTAATGTAATCCTTTACTATACACAGTCACGTTTTCTCTACCTATTTATTTCAAACTTTAGTTGAACTTGAAATAATTCCTCTGAGGGAGAAATTTTATAAATTTTTCTTGCACTGCAGGTGGAAATCAAATTTAACGATGACCGAAGTAAAACCTACACAGTTACTTATACTGCAAAGATGGAAGGAATGCACAAAGTAAATATTTTTTATTTCATTTTATCTTATATACTGAGCTTATGTTAGTTTATTCCTGATTGCCTTGTATTATAGTTTTTGGGTAAGTTTTGTTAAATGTTTTCTGTAACTAATGCTTATTCTAGGTGAGTAATTCATTCATCAAAATATATTATTTAGGACATTTCTACAGTCACTTTGTCCCTTCACATATAATATATTGGTTATGATTTCTTAAAGATGTTTTAACGTTTTTAGTTCCTAAACAAAACTGCTCTTTAATTAAACAATATCTTTACTATCTTTTAGAAGCATTTGTCTTATTAAATCTTCCAGTTTCACTGATCTTTAATTAAACAATATCTTTACTATCGTTTAGAAGCATTTGTCTTATTAAATCTTCCAGTTTCACTGATCTTTAATTAAACAATATCTTTACTATCTTTTAGAAGCATTTGTCTTATTAAATCTTCCAGTTTCACTGATCTTTAATTAAACAATATCTTTACTATCGTTTAGAAGCATTTGTCTTATTAAATCTTCCAGTTTCACTGATCTTTAATTAAACAATATCTTTACTATCTTTTAGAAGCATTTGTCTTATTAAATCTTCCAGTTTCACTGATCTTTAATTAAACAATATCTTTACTATCTTTTAGAAGCATTTGTCTTATTAAATCTTCCAGTTTCACTAATCTTTAATTAAACAATATCTTTACTATCTTTTAGAAGCATTTGTCTTATTAAATCTTCCAGTTTCATTTTCTAATTTATGATTTGAAATATAATTTAACCAATGCAAACTTTTATTCTTTATAAAAATTCATTAATAAATATTCTTCAGGCTATAAGTATGATTTGTTGATAAAACTTGCTTACAAATCTTGATGATAAATGTCTTTCATTCATCCACAAATGGTGAGACTGACCATAATGTTTGTTTTTCAAGTGCTGGAAGTAAACTCAAAGCCATAAAAACAAGTTGATAATATGAACAGAAGATGGCACTGGAGAACTTACTTTGGTTTAAAAAAAATGGTCATACTTAAGTGTAATAATTTCAGACATTTTGGGGCTATCTGTGTCCTGTCCACCATGTGGAAATGGACCCAGCTTTTAGCATTGTAAGTCCATGAAATGGGGGGGGGGGGCGAAAGAGAGAAACAGTTCAGGGTCCTAGGCAAATGAAACCTGGTTATGCCATAAAGCCCACAAAGCACCCTTAGGTTATATAAGCATAGTTTTTGGCTTTTCTTTGTATATAGACACTTGATACATTAAGACTGATTTAAATAATAATTTGAGTAATATTTAATATATATTTGTTACTTTATAGATTTAGAAGATATTTGTTGTTACTTTATTAACATTTTTACACTTACACTGCAAGCTAAAAATGGCTTCTGCTATGATGTTTTCTTGTTTATCAGTTCGTTGCTGTCCTAATTTAGGATATTCTTTTTAATAAGTTGTTAAAAATGTTAAAAAAGAGAAAGAAAGGGTGTCCAGTGAGGATGTTTGTCCCAAAGCTCGTGCTGACTCTGGACACTCCTGCCAGTGACCCACTGGAAGAGGACTATTTATGTTCTGTATACCATGGGGAAACAAACCCCAAATTTTATCATTGTAAGCATGAAATTACCAATGACCCACTGGAAGGGGACTATTTATGTTCTGTATTCCATGGAGAAACAAACCCCATATTTTATCATTGTAAGCATGAAATTACCAATGACCCAGTGGAAGGGGAACATTTATGTTCTGTATACCATGAGGAAACAAACCCCAGATTTTATCATTGTAAGCATGAAATTACCAATGACCCACTGGAAGGGGACCATTTGTGTTCTGTATTCCATGGGGGAAACAAATCCCAGATTTTATCATTGTAAGCATGAAATTACCAATGACCCACTGGAAGGAGACTAAAGTTAGGGTAAATCAGTTTTAATGAATTGGTTTTTTAAAAAAGTTTACATTTTTACAGATGAGAGCTTGAAATTCAGTTAATATTTTCCAAATAATTATTTATAAAAATAATAATTAAAATTCTAGTCAAAAATTAATAAGCAAGTTAACTAAAGTAAATTAAGTAAAAGTTAAATAACTCTCAGTGAAAGAAAGAAACATTTCTATCTTAGATTTTATCTTTTATGTCCATTTTAATGTCAGTTTTATTTAGCAACCTAGTTTAGGTGATTTTATTACTACACTTTTGTAAGTAAATCTCTTTAAACATTGTTTATTTTAGTTTAAATATTAAAAGAGCTCTACATAATGTATTAACACTTGCTGATTTTATACTGACCCACAACTTCCATTTTCACTTCTTACTGCTGAAGAAGCTGTTTTATTTATTTTAAAAAACTTATTCATTTTTTTTTAGGTCAAAGTACTATTTGCAGGAAAAGAAGTACCAAAAAGTCCGTTTAATGTGAAGGTGGAGGGAACTGTTGGTGACTTCAAAAAGGTGACAGCTAGTGGTCCTGGGTTGGAGCCCACTGGAGTAATGGTTGGCCGCCCAACCTACTTTGACGTTTTTACCAAAGGTACAACTAACTGTTGGAGATATAAAAGAAATTATTTGTGTTTTAAAATCTTGATTTTCTATTTTATTTAAAATTTGATTGTAAGTTTTTTACATATAACATTTAAGTACTATTCTTAATATTTAATACATATGCAACTGCACTTGTTTAAAGTATTAACTAATTCTACTAATTTTCATTGTTAAAAGTTCCTTCTCAAGAGGTAAAAAAAAAATGTTTAAGAAACCTTTTCAGAATTTCATCATTTTTAAAGTTTATAATTACTTGAGTGATTTGGTACTGTTGTAGATGCTGGAAAAGGTCAAGTGGAGGTAATCATTCTTGACCAACAGGGGAACCAAAAAACTACCCTCAACAGGCTAGTGAAGATCTCTGAAGATGTTTATCGTTGTGAATATGTGGCTCAAACTGTTGGCGTTCATTCGATTAACGTCTTTTTCGCCGGACAGCAGATACCAAATAGTCCATTTGGTGTGAGAGTTTCACCTGGTCAGTTTTGTTTAAACGTTTTGATAGAAGTAATATCAGTATTAAACTATGTATGTAAAAAGTAACATATGATTAAACTTGGTAAGAATGGCCAAGTTCTGTGTTTTGTGTAGTATGTACCAAGGCTTTTACACTTAGATTTAACATTTGAATCAGTTGGCATTCTGGGTAAAATATTTGACTTTAGGAATAAATGTTCAAAATGTTTATAAGCTTAACATTTAGTACCATACATATTTATACTTAAATTGAATGTGAAGGCATTTTTACTCATGATGGTTATGCCTGCCATTAATTTTAAATATTTGAAAGTTGTTTATGAATGACACTCAAAATCATCTTTTACTTGCATTCTTAACTTGTGATTATTTTCATATTATTTCTTTTTATTTTTCATGCTAATTTTGTGGAGGAGTATTTAAAATTAATATTTTATTAATTGATATAAAATATTACTGATAGTGAACTTCTCTCATCTAGATATTGAATGTTTGAGTTAGCAATGTTTTTTTTCTTATAGGTAATTATATGATTGTGATATTCTGTAACAAATATTTGTTAAGTTCAACAAACTGATGCTTTTTATTCAGTTTAAAGTTCATAAAAACCAGAGAAATTTTTGGCCAATACTGGGTGGTTTATCCCTACAGTTGGGAAGTTCTGATATTTGATATAAAATTAACTTCTAGTGTGGTTACCCAAGTAACTGATAACTTGTGAATTTAAGATTTGAAACATGAGTTGATTCTAACTGCATTTCCTCTGTCAAAGTTATCAACATTTACAATATTATTTTTATTAAATCTCAGTACTCTATCAAATACTTCTTTAATTTGATAAGTTTTATCTTGTTTTAGCACAAAACTCCACAGTGTCTGTCCAAACTTAATGAATCTTCTAACTTAGAAAATATAACTTTATTAACATTTTTGAATTTAAAGAAGATTTAATCCATACATTTTACAATAGTTCATTCATATAATATTGCATGATAAATTAATCTAGTAGTAAATTTTGTTTTCATAGTTGCCGATGCCAGAAAAGTTCGTGCCTATGGGAGAGGTTTACAAGCCACTGGAGTTCGTGTTGGAGATTTTGCAGATTTCAAGGTGCTTACTTCAGGAACGGGAGAGGGAGAACTGGATATTAAGGTGATAGGTCCTGGTGAGTGCCGACTGTAAAAAATAAAATTGATCATCATAGATTCTTTATTATATGTTTTTTTATTAATCACACACCTAGGTTACATCATTCACAGTTAGATTCTAGAACTAATTATAATTATTATTTCATGAAAAGTTGAAAACTTTGGGTGGCATTTTTTATGAACAGAATTATATTTATTTAATAGAGTCAGATAATACTCTATATTAATATATTTATGTTTTCACAACAGGAGGTATAAAAGAAAAAATAGATATCAAGAAGGTTGATGAAACTAGCTACGAATGTGTGTACAAACCTGTGAAGGAAGGGCGATACATTGTCACCATTTCTTATGGAGGTCAAGAAATCCCTCGTAGTCCTTTTCAAGTGAATGTTGGTCCTCACAAGGTGTCCAAAATTAGAGCCTTTGGACCAGGACTGAAGGGTGGTGTTGTTGGATCACCAGCAAATTTCACAGTGGAAACTAATGGAGAAACTGGATCTTTAGGTTAGTATTAGATGGGCCTTATTTTAATTAATCAACTTGTTTCATGTATCTAAGATCTATAAAAAGAAATATTTATAATTTCTTTCAAGAAAAGAGCAACTTCTTTGGCTGTATTTCAAAATAGAACCTTAGAGTTTCACCTATTTTAAGTGTATTTTAAGCCTATTTTTTGTGAAGAACACAGATGAAAAGCATTAAGGAAATAACAAACATAGTTCATGTTCTACATTAAATGTTATTTTCTACATTGTTTGAACTTATTTAGCTTGTGATCAGTACAGTTTGAACCAGAAAGCTTTATTTGTATTAGCACTAATAAAAGATTGTTTATGTAAATATGAACATTGTATATTAATAAAGATAACATGAACTGATGTAATAACGGGGAAGCGTTATATGTTCATATCCACAACCTATGCACCAGTGGGGGCTTGTGGCCTTTTTTAATACATGGCTACGTTTTCAAACAATCAACTTAAATCAATGTGAGTCACATCCCCCAACTTTTCCTTTCTGCAGAGCCCACTTCTCACTTCTTAGTTAGAAAATCTATAGCTTGCCTAACCTGTCTCTCTCTCTTGTTGGAATGGCATGATTGTTCTTTGTTTGAATGCATTTACTGTCTCCTTATAGATAAATTTAACTTATGATTGAAGCTCTATTGGCAACTAGTGAATGTTTTATTAAAAGTAAAACATAATGTTGCGTCAGCGAGGTCACGTGACTAGTGTCATGCCACGTTTCTAGAACTATCTTGTACCTTCGTGAATGCCCTAGCATTTACTAGATATATGTTTGTCTGATATATATATAAGACGCTCACAACGTGATGGGACAAAAATGTGTGCAGGTAATTGAACTGCAGTCAGGAAGTATTGTTGAAGTTAACGTTCGTTGTTAAAACGAACCATCAAAGAAACCATCACTTATCTAGCAGAAATGTGTGTAATAGATAAAATCTCATTAGTTTTTCTGATCCTTTAATTCATATTTCTATATTTTACTAATTTCAAGCATGTTTCTGCGTGTGAGTAGAAGGTTGAAAAGTGTTATTTCAGCTGCTTATATTTACTTACGAATTTTCTTTGAGGTAGTCGTACATACTTTATTTTCTTGTGAAGCAGCCTAAAGGACTTCACATTTTTATTCTAGGTTTCTCTATTGAGGGGCCTTCCCAGGCTAAGATTGACTGTAAGGACAATGGTGATGGCTCAGCTGATATATCTTATCTTCCTACTGCTCCAGGACAGTATGCTGTTCACATTCTTTGTGATAATGAAGACATCCCTAACTCGCCTTACATGGCAGAGATTGTACCAAGTTCTGAGACTTTTCCAGAAAAGGTGTGTTGTGTGGAAGGAAGTTTCTGTATCCAAGTATGAGGAATTATGTTAATTTTAAGATTTTAGTTTATTGAGTCAGAGAAAACTGGTAGGTTGAATAAGATCAAGTCTCTGATCACCATGTATGATATGACAAGGTAACATATTACTTATCCAAGAGTATAAATGGTTACTACAACATATTACTTAACCAGACTATAACATTAAGATGTTTACAATATTGTATTACCTAACCAGACTATAACATCAAGATGTTTACTACAACATATTACTTAACCAGACTATAACATTAAGATGTTTACAATATTGTATTACTTAACCAGACTATAACTGGTTACTACAACATATTACTTAACCAGACTATAACATTAAGATGTTTACAATATTGTATTAACTAACCAGACTATAACATCAAGATGTTTACTACAACATATTACTTAACCAGACTATAACATCAAGATGTTTACTACAACATATTACTTAACCAGACTATAACATCAAGATGTTTACAATATTGTATTACCTAACCAGACTATAACATCAAGATGTTTACTACAACATATTACTTAACCAGACTATAACATCAAGATGTTTACTACAACATATTACCTAACCAGACTATAACATCAAGATGTTTACAATAGTATATTACTTAACCAGACTATAACTGGTTACTACAACATATTACCTAACCAGACTATAACATTAAGATGTTTACAATATTGTATTACCTAACCAGACTATAACATCAAGATGCTTACAATAGTATATTACCTAACCAGACTATAACATTAAAATGTTTAAGACAGTTTATCTTTTAGAATATTGTCATATAATCTTTTTTACTGGACTTATGGGATTTGTGCTGTTGTATACTGTTACCATCTTTGTAAAGGTGAAATTTAGGTACTGGTTTCCTTACTTCCGTAAGATCTATAGATTTCAAATTGGGGACATAGGTTAAAATTTCTTTCTTGTCCAAGTTATATTTGACTTTCTTATTTGTGGGTTGTAGACTTATTTTTACTGAATATTGTAAATTTTCAAAATGTTATGTAACTTTTATACCTGAAAATTTCAGAAGGCAGTTTTAAAGTAGTTTCAACATCACGAGGCAAGTCTTGTCATACTGTGTATATGTTATTATAATTTGCTAAACCCAGTAAGCCTATTAATATTTCCATAAATAGACAAAGTTCATTTGCATGTGTTTTTAGTAATCAATATTTTATTTTAATCCAGGTTGAAGCACATGGACCAGGTCTTCAACCGAATGGTGTAGTTCAGGGACAGCCAACAGAGTTTACAATTGATACACGCAAAGCTGGAAATCCTGCTCCTTTAGATGTGTCTGTACTGGATGAAAACCTGAAACCTGTAGATGTAAAGGTACAAGACAATAAAGATGGAACTTACAAGTGCACTTATCGCCCAACCATGAAGAATAAACACACAATTCAGATCAACTATGGAGGAGTAGCTATACCAAATAGCCCCTTCAGGGTAAGTGGAAAATCTATCTCTAAAGTCTATGAATTTCAAGAAAAGACTCAAAACTTGAGCATTATATGTTATTGGCTCTTCTTCATCTTTTTCTTCAGGAGAATAAATGGCTCTATAGCCTCTTAGGAAAAGTTGTTTTAGCTGGAAAGCTGGCTTGGTAAAGAAGATTTTTTACGGCTCAAAGTTGGAGTTAAAGGACAGATATTGTGAATTTTATTCAAAATTGGACATCTATTGTTGAAAATGCATTATTTTAAAGAAAATATTAAGTTGTATATTTCTTAATCAAGCCAAAAAAATTCATAAAACTTTTTTATAATTTTTGTATGCTAATTTGCTTCTTCATGTTCAAGGTATATGTATCAGAACCCACTGACTCTTCAAGAGTTAAAGTTTTTGGTCCTGGTGTTGAAAAGGGAGTGAAAGCACAGACACCAACCCACTTCAATGTGGATGCTCAAGGCTGTGGAAAAGGTAAAGCTACTCTTCTTGAAAGAGATCTTTATTGTCACTGTTTTACGGGACTGAGGTGTGGTATAAAAAATTATAATTTCTTTAATGCTTCTTTAAATTAATTATAGTGTATTTAGTTGATTATTATATTTTATGTCGTATTTATAAGTGCATAAACATCCAGTATTTGTTTATAACTAATGGATGAAAACATCTTAAGTGACTTGCGTCTAAGGAGTAAATTGTGACATTTTTCTAACTTTCTAATTAACTCTCGATTGTAGGATATAACTAAGTTTGTTTTCTACATGTTTTTGTTTTATGGAAAGTGGCTTTTTTGAATGTGTAACCATGATTTCAAAAGTATTATAACTATCTATAAAACTTTTGAAATTTTTTATTTTGGGAAATGTTTGAGAAGAAAAAGGTCTCAGCATAAGAAACTAGATTTACCTGCCAGCATTTGGAGGGAATGGGAAACTGTTGTAGTCAGTGTTTTGAGCAGTTTGAAATAATGTTTTGGTATCATTGGTGGATTAATGAGGTATTCTTCCTGTCGTCACTAGGTGATCTTCAGGTTTTGCTTACTGATGATAAAGGTAAACAAGTACCCGTACAGATCCAGAATAATGAAGACGAGACATACACCGTGGATTATGTAGCTCCAACTCCAGGAAACTATAAGGTAGATGGAAAGAGTACAGAACCTGTAACATTCAGTTTTAAAAACTAACTATTAGGCTTTCTGCAATCTTTATGCTAGTTATGTATAATAACACACTTTCCATATCCTTAAGATATTCTATGATATTTGGATGATTTTTAAATTCTTCCACAATTTGCAGATTTTAATTCTGCTGTAAATGTAAGTATTAGTATAAGTGATAAAGGTGGTGAATACATTTCACAACTAGAGGGACACTTGGTAGAGTGCATACCTTTGCCATGCAGCATTGATCATATTCAACCCTCAAAAAATAGGAAAATCTGTCTGTATGTCTGTTGTTATCAATGGACTTGGACCATTTTTGGCAAGACAATGAGGGATTATATTCTACATATGTCCACCAAGTTTCATCAAAATCCAATCATTTTTGGTTGAGTTATAGAGCAAAAATAGTGTGATAAATCAGTCCTTGTATTAACAGATTGGGATTTTTTGTTTTTATGACCTTGACCTTTGTCCTTGACCATACAAAAACTAATCACTTCTGGGTCACAGTCTAAATGTATGGTAATTTTTCTTCAAATTTATTCAGCTGTTTTAATGAAATCTTGCTAACAAACATACACAGAGGTGAAAACATAACCTTCGTCGACCTTTGGTGGTGATGGTAATAATGTAATACATATTTCAATAAGATAATAAATGTTTCTCACATGTAACATACTGTTTTGGTATTATTTTCTACTATTCTGAATCACATGATTTAGTGTTAAAGTTTTACTGTTTTTGGCTATGTACTGCTTTGATGTTAATATTTCTCTCCTTCTTAGGTTACTGTCTTGTTTGCTGGTAAAGAAATTCCAAACAGTCCCATCAAAGTTGACGTCCAGCCCAAGCTAGATGTCAGCAAAGTTAAGGTGGATGGATTAGAACCAAGTAAACATCTTCTTTACAATTTTATCTCTAGAGTTTCTTAAACTAAACCAAATATGATATTGTTAGCCCCCAAACCAAGAATTCTTATCTGTAACAAAAATGTAATAACTTTTATTAGAAAAATTGATCAGATGTAATTCAGATGAAAAGCTCATATAATCTAGAACAATTTCAACCAAGGTTCCATTTGTTCTGGAAACATATATCCCTATACTTTGTGATAGATCTATGGATCACATAGCTATTTCCCCATAAGTCCCTACTGAAGTCAGCCTCGATCATGATATTATTTCCTCCTAGTTCTTAATGGAAGTTTGAGCCATAAAAATGTGATATATTTTTTGTTGCATGTACATTATTATTATTATTTACTGTAATGTAAGATTTTTTTTATCTGAGCTTTCTGCTCTTAGTATTTTTGATATAAAACAAGCATAACCGTGTTAGGAATCAACCACTTTTTAGAGACATTTAATAATTTTGTTTCACATTTCATTGGTGTAGGGCTTTTACCGTACTTGCTGCACCAGTACAGCAACAACTTTAGTCTTTACAACTTATCTTGGTCTTTTAATTCCACTGATTTCATTAGGTGTTTTCGTAAGCTCAGTGACAGACTTTACAGTGGATGCACGAGCCATCTCTAAGCGAAGTGATGCTAAACTTGATTGTGTAATTACAAATCCCTCTGGTGCCCGTACTGGTTCCGTGGTGAAGGGCAATGATGATGGAACGTACAAAGTATCATATACACCAGTTGAAGAAGGTAAGCACCCATAATCCCACTTATTATTTAAACTGATGCCCAGAAACAATGGCCTTTTCTAATTCATGGCTGAATGCTGTCTGTAGCAGAGGCTCAGTTTCTTATAACTGATAATTTTAGTAAAATATCACTTTTTTGTGAAAAGTTTTCATTAAATTTCAAGGATTTTCTTTCTCATTTTTACACTTTCATTCCATTATCATTTCTTTTTAAAAACAAATGTGAATAAAAATTGTTACATTTTCTTTTGTGACTATTGTAAGAGGGAATTGTGATGTAATTATTATTAAACTATTTTAATTTGTCAAATGTACCCTTCAAAATACTATCTGGATTCTCCCCATTGTAATATAATTGTGACTCAGAAAATACCACAAAGTGAGCACAATCATCTGAGCCTAACATATAGTTTCTGTTCTTCAAACGGTGACAAATTAAAAGTGACAGCAACTTGAGAACATTGGTAAAATAAAATGTGTTGCTAATAAGAACTGAGTAATGTTTATTTTTGAATATTTCTTGTTTACTTCACCAGGACCACATAAAGTTGATGTAAAATATGATGGAGTTCCTATTCCTAATAGTCCTTTCAAGGTTACTGCTACCAAGGGTTGTGATCCACGAAAGTGCCGTGCTTATGGGCCCGGACTGGAGCAGGGAGTGGTTAATCAGGTAATTACTAGCTTCATATAATAAAGTACAGTAATAATTAACATATGCAAAAATTATTTTAATAAAACTGATAATTTGAAACTTAGTAAGTTTGATTAAACCTATTTCATGATTTTCTGCAGAACTTCAAGATGAAAAATATGCTTTGATATTTAAGTCGCATTTAAAGATATTATAAAAGAAGAACTCAGAAATTGATCTTTTGTATTGGAAATTTAAACTTACTACAAACAACATTATCATTACACGTACAGACCAACACTTTTACCATCGAGACAAAGGGAGCTGGAGCCGGTAATCTGGGACTTGCTGTGGAAGGTCCTTCTGAGGCCAAAATGACGTGTAAAGACAACAGAGATGGCACTTGCACTGTAGAATACATTCCCGATGAACCTGGCAATTATGATATTGCTGTCAAATTTGCCGACCAACATATTCCTGGTAGGGAGGTTTTTGTTTAGTATAAATTAAAAGTTGTAACTGTAGAGTGTACAAAAGTCATGCTTATATTTTATATATTTATAATATCTGACTCATCTGACTTATTTGTAGAAAAACTTTATAAGTTTACTCTCATATCCAATACTAAATTAATTAGTTTAACCCTCTATTCCGTATTGTTGCGTACAGGTAAGAAAACTATTGTTGTCGCTTATAATCAGACACTCTCAGAGGTTCAGATAGGTCAGGGCCATTTCTACCTTTTGAGGCCCATAAATATAATATAAAAAAATGATGAGACATGAAAATCAAATAAGACAATCATTAACCCAGAAGAAAAGTGAAAAATAATTTGAATATTTAATTTGTAGCTCTTGAAGAAAATAGTGCCTTTAATTAAGTGAACAGAGTTCATGGAATAAAAATTTACAAAGTATTATCTAAGCTAAAGTTCTGAGTATCCGTACTACATAACTTGGACAAATATAAAAAGTGGAAAAAATTGTATTTGTAGGAAGTCCTTTCAAGGTTCCGTCATCTGTTGGGGTGGATGCCTCCAAAGTTCAAGCTCATGGTCCAGGTCTAGAACCAAATAACTGTCGTGCTAATGTTCCACTTAACTTTACCGTGGATGCTAGAAAGTCAGGAAAAGCTCCATTAAATGTAGATGTCAGCTCTGAGAAAGGTAGGAGAATTTATGTCAGTGTTATTAAGGCTGTCAGAATGACTTAATCTTAATTCAATAAAAATACTAATACCTTCTTTCTGCTCTCATCCACTGCTTATAACCACCCAGTATGCTCAGCAGTGGTTATCCTTTTTTTTTTTTTTAAATAACAACAACGTTTCATTGAAGATTATTTTACTTTTGTATACACTAATAACCACTTTCAATAATTTGTAAGTACAATCAGTCTTATTGTATCTATTAGTTTGTCAGAATTGAATAATATGAACTTAAATCTATTCACCAGAGGAAAGCCGTATAAGAATGTTTTCCTATCTCAACATAACTGATTTATTGATCTTTAGATTAATTTATGTTAGAAAAAACACTTCTTCCATCTAAATTTCAATCTTGAACAAGTATTTCATTTGAAGTTTTGTTATTCAGTATATTTAAAAATATTGAAGAAAACTCTTTTTAAATGTAAGAATAACATTGTTTTTGTTCTTTAGCAGAATCTGTAAATCTGAAATTTTAAACACAGAATCGTATATAATTACAAAGTTCAAAACTGATTTTTGACTAACTTTACTCAGGACCAATCCCCAAGAAGGCTCAAATTAAAGACATTGGTGATGGAACCTATGATGTGACCTATTTTGCTCCTCCTGAGAACAGCAAATGTGATGTGAAGGTGACATATGGTGGGAAAGATATACCTGGAAGGTACTTATAATACTGTAGTTAAAAAGATAAAGGATCCATCATCAAAAAATATTTACCCATAAAATGATAAAAGTAAAAATTTGAATACAACTAAGTAAAATGTAAACAGCTTTGACAAATTGGTCAGTGTGTTCTGTAACAAGCTAATTGTTCATGTTACTCTCTCCTTGTTTAGTAACAGGCTAAATGTTCAAGTTACCTTCTCCTTGTTCTGTAACAAGCTAAATGTTCAAGTTACTCTCTCTCCTTGTTCAGTAACAAGTTAATTAGTCAAGTTATCTTCTCCTTGTTCAGTAGCATGCTAAATGTCATGTTATCCTCTCCTTGTTCTGTGAAAAGCTAATTGTTCATCTTACCTACTCCCTGTTTACTATGCATCAGATTAAATGATCGAATCACCCGTTTCCTGTTACTTAAAGTATAATAAAAGGTCTAGTTCTATTCCATGATTTGCTAACACCAAAGGCTGATGTAAATAATGCTGGTTCTTCTGATGAGAGAAGGTTTGATGTTGATAGATCAACTCTCATCTTTCTTGAAGAGGTTTCAAAGGGCTTTTGCACAAAATTAAAATTATGGATTTAGATTCATAACTTCAAAGTATTATATGTATAATCACTTTAAACAGAGTACAATTTGGTTATAAATGGAACTTTCTTTGGTGTTGGACTTTAGCCCCTTCCAGATGAAGGTGAAGCCTACCGTGGAGCCAAAGAATGTGAAGGTCACAGGCCCAGGGGTGAGCAACAAGGGTGTGCCTGCTAGTATTCCAGTCGAGTTTACCATAGATGCTAAAGATGCAGGAGTTGCAGAACCAGAAGTTCTGGTCAAGGTGAGGTTCACATATGTGTATGAATAACTTCAATATGGGAGTTACAGAACCAGGAGTTCTGGTCAAGGTGAGGTTCACGTATGTGTATGAATAACTTCAATATGGGAGTTACGGAACCAGAAATTCTGGTCAAGGTGAGGTTCACATATGTGTATGAATAACTTCAATATGGGAGTTACAGAACCAGGAGTTCTGATCAAGGTGAGGTTCACGTATGTGTATGAATAACTTCAATATGGGAGTTACGGAACCAGAAGTTCTGGTCAAGGTGAGGTTCACATATGTGTATGAATAACTTCAATATGGGAGTTATGGAACCAGGAGTTCTGGTCAAGGTGAGGTTCACGTATGTGTATGAATAGCTTCAATATGGGAGTTACAGAACCAGAAGTTCTGGTCAAGGTGAGGTTCATGTATGTGTATGAATAACTTCAATATGGGATTTACGGAACCAGGAGTTCTGGTCAAGGTGAGGTTCACGTATGTGTATGAATAACTTCAATATGGGAGTTACAGAACCAGAAGTTCTGGTCAAGGTGAGGTTCACATATGTGTATGAATAACTTCAATATGGGAGTTACAGAACCAGAAGTTCTGGTCAAGGTGAGATTCACGTATATGTAAGAATAACTTCAATGCAGGGGTTACAGAACCAGAAGTTCTGGTCAAGGTGAGGTTCACATATGTGTATGAATAACTTCAATATGGGAGTTACAGAACCAGAAGTTCTGGTCAAGGTGAGGTTCACGTATATGTATGAATAACTTCAATAAACCAAGTTCTGTTGTTCAACTGGTTTTCTTTGCAAAATATTTAATTTGTTTTATTTTAAAGTTTTATATATTAATCAGTTTCCAATTGTAAATTTAATGATTTTGTTGAACTTTAAACAATTTTGTTTTAAACGTATTACTTTATAATACAGTATGTCTTACCTATGTATAACACTGAATCACAACGACTAGAGTAATGAGAAACACATTAAAAGAAAATAGTAATGCTTGAATGAGACTTCATTTCCTTGACTTTTAAAAATAAACAGACAAACAAGCATAAGTTCTTAGAGCCTTCATAAACAATGTTTTTTTGATTGATTTTTCATAAAAACTTTAGGTAAAAAAACTTCATCATACTTTCTATTTTCATCTTCCAAAGGGTCCAGACAATACTCCACGAAAAGCAACAGTCGTAGATAACCAAGATGGAACCTACAAAGTAAAATACACTCCTGATGATGTCGGTACTTACAAAGTGAACGTAAAGTATGGAGGACATGAAGTGCCTAATGCTCCTTTCACAGTTAACAGTTACGCTGTTGGACATGCAGAAAAATGCAAGATCACAGGTTGCGTTTCCTAAATTATTGTTGAAACTACAGTGTTAGTTTTGTTTATATGTAACTTGAGGTATTTCAGAGAACTAGCTTTGGAGCTTAACACTTGTATTGGAGAGAATGAAAGTGTGTATATATATTAATCACTGGTTTTCATTAGATGTTTCTTGATCATGAATTTTATAAACAGAAAACAAAAATAATATGAGGCATTAGCATAATAACTTTTGAGTTTTTTTTAGCATTAGTAGTAGATTTTTGATGATAATACAGTGGTGTGCTTGTGAAACATTACAATAAACAGAAAGGTAGCACCACCTTACTCCTATCTGACCTAAAGATTCTTGTTTTGTGTAGGGGTTAGAAACTAATAACAAGTGTGTCTGTTACACATGCAAATGTCAATTGTGTATGTGTGTGTTTTTTCTTTAAGAGGGTGTCCAGGAACGATTAACTATTGGGGAAGAATACTGCATTACGGTCAATGCAGAGCAGGCTGGAACCGGTGCTGTTACCTGTAGAATCACTAGTACCACAGGAGTCGACTCTGATGTGGACATACAGGTAGAGGACAACAGTGATGGCACTTTCTCCATCTATTACAACCTGAAAGATGCTGGGGAGTACAGCATCAGTATCAAGTTTGGTGGCCAGCCTGTGCCAGGTGGAAAATATACTGTCAATGTAAGTGAATCTTAATGTATTTGATGATTTACCAGTAATAAATATTATATTGAACCAAACAAATTTATTAATATTTTCATCAGTTCAACCATTTCTCTTTTATTTTGGGGTTATTGTTATATTGTGGGTATTAGCAACAGTTTGTAGCAAAGCCAAACAATGAAAAGCTCAAGACTTCATTATAATCAGATTTGTCAAACTGTAACTATCTAAAGTGACTACTCTTTATTTTAAGTTGTCACTGTGTAAAGTGACTTTCTATTATATGTTGTGACTGTGTAAAGTGACTCCTCTTTGCAATAAGTTTCACTGTCTAAAGTGACTCTTTGTTAGAAACTGTCACTATCTAAAGTGATTCTGTTATGAGTTTTGAATGTCTGTAGCCAGCAGGGCCGGATTTAGAAATGTGGGGCCCCCTTTCAGAAAAACATATATTCATCAGTACACGATATACAAACAGCTGTAATCAAAAAGTTTCTACCTACAGTCTTACTCATATCTAGCCACAAATTCCCTAATAAATCAACAAGTTATTAATTACACAAAATTAGACACTAACTCGAACACATACAAATAAGTTTGGTATAAAAAGTAATGTTTATTATATAAAGTATTGTATGCAAAACATGGTATTTTATCGTATTTCACTAGAGTTTACTACTATGTGTTTTTTGACATAGTTCAAAGGAAAGTGTTTAGTGAAGAAAAAATTACAATATACCAGGAACTTTTTGTGACTTTGTTTAGCAAAATTCTTGATAATATTACTAAAGTACCAATCACGCAGTATGTCATACTCAATTCTTATTATCAATAGCTTACTAAGCCATTCATGTGTCATTGTTGTTCATAGACTGTTCTTAATAATTTTCATCTGGCTGAATGATCTTTCACCACTACAGTTAGTAACCATTAAAACAAGATAAATACAAAGAGCTGTTTCAACATTGTGGAAAGTGTCTTTCAATGATTAGTTTGTACAGAAAATGGTGTCATCCAATACAGTCATTTTCTTCATCTGTAAAAACCTTTGAAAACTCACTGAACTGAATCACTTCAATACCTAGGAGACAATCTAAGTGTTCGTTGTACTTGTCAACTAGAATTTCTGTTGATTGTTCAACTGAATCAGTTCAATACCTAGGGGGCCATCTAAGTGTTCGTTGACCATCTAAGTGTTCGTTGTACTTGTCAACTAGAATTTCTGTTGATTGTTCAACTGAATCAGTTCAATACCTAGGGGGCCATCTAAGTGTTCGTTGTACTTGTCAACTAGAATTTCTGTTGATTGTTCAACTGAATCAGTTCAATACCTAGGGGGCCATCTAAGTGTTCG